CAAATCCTAATCAAAATTCTTGATTTGTGTGCATATATAGAGGTAAGTATTTATTTGAAATTGGTTTTAATTCTAATAATGTGTTACATATAAACAAATGTTTCATTTAAATTTACTAAGAGAGTTATGATTTAGGTAGTTGTAAAGTACAAGTGCTGAATTTAGTTTCACTTACCAATAATTGGGTTTTCTTTTACACTTCTATTTCTCCAAGCAACTGTCACTGAATCACTGGTTATAGAATCAATGTATGGCACAGGAGGAGGAGGGGGAACTAATTCATAAAATAAAAATTGTAAGCTATTTATATAATAATGTAGCACTCACTTGATTTGCATTCTATAAGTTACAAACTTGAAATGTGGAACTCTGAACACCTTGCTGATTGTTAAAATATAAAAAGTTTATTGCATTAAGTATTATTAATGATTTGTTACACAACTTTTTAGGGACGAGACCATTTATATTAAATTTACACAACAATTAACAATGTAAAAAATAAAACAAGACCTCCCCATACATTGACCTAGTAATTATGCATAGTAGAATTGTATCACTAGTGGTAAAAATTAAATTTATAATATACTATATAAAATGTGTAAGAAATTCTTAATTAGAAAAATTTCAACATAACTGGTTTTACACAGTAAATAAAATCATGTTATAAAATTCTGTGTAACATCTTGTATTTAAAAATTCAGAATAAATACATGAAAGCCAACTATATAACTACAATGACGTTAAAAAAAGATTCTAAGATTGAGCATAGTTCTTTTATTTAAATCCACAGAAACAGGACATGATAAATATAAAAAGTATTATTAGCTGTTGAAAGTTTACTCTTCTTCAGGAAGCTACTATATTTAAATAAACTTTACATATATATACAAAAATGTTATCTTTTGACTTTGATTTCTGTCAAATGATTCATTTGTTTGTTTGTTTGAAATTAAGCACAAAGCAACACAATTGGCTATCCGTGCTCTGACCACCATGAGTATCGAAAACCGGATTCTAGCATTGTCAGTCCGCAGACGTACCGCTGTGCTACTGTGGGGGCTGTCAAATGACTATCACTATTAACAATACACAAGAAGTACACTTACGTGGTGATTTCTGTTTCACTGAAAGCATAAAGAGAGTAAAAATAAAAGCATTAATAAACAATATGTCAAGATAAAATCATTTTACACATATACCATTGGAAACAAATATAAAATTATGAATTTTTTATAAAGCCAAATATATCATTAATCATGTGTTTATATATACATAATTGGATTATAGTTCTAGTGTACTAATACAAGTAGAAACTACAAGAATTTTTAAAGCTCGAGAAGAAGAGTACAGTCTTTAATCTAAGCTATGCAGTGTTTTCCCTAGAAACTGTCTCCAGTGTATAGTTCAGTTTTCAGTATGTAAAAAGATTTTGTTTCAGATAATGGAGCAGAAATCAATATTGTATTTGATCAGTAAAACATAAACATAAAACATATTCCAGTACTTGACAGGTTTTCACTAGCCAATACACTAGCCCAATACACTATACAGTCAATGTCTTTAGGGACCCAAATTTGATCAGTAAAATATAAAAGAGATTTATTCCAGTACTTGATAGGTTTTCACTAGCCAATACACTATACAGTCAATGTCTTTAGGGACCCAAATTTGATCAGTAAAACATAAAAGAGATGTATTCCAGTACTTGACAGGTTTTCACTAGCCAATACACTAGCCCAATACACTATACAGTCAATGTCTTTAGGGACCCAAATTTGATCAGTAAAACATAAAAGAGATGTATTCCAGTACTTGACAGGTTTTCACTAGCCAATACACTAGCCTAACATTTCTCCTTGGGTTAATCCGGATGGTACAAAATGTTCTGAAGTATTTGTGGATATATAAGCACTTATATATATTGTGGATATATAAGCACTTATATATATTGTGGATATTAAGCACATATATATTGTGGATATATAAGCACTTATATATATTGTGGATATTAAGCACACATATATATTGTGAATATTAAGCACATATATATTGTGGATATTAAGCATTTATATATATTCAAATGCTTCAGAAACAAAAGTAAATTAAAAACAAAGAAGAATTCACAAAATATGAAGCCTCTTAGTACGATGCATATGTAGGAGGAGATAGCGAGAGAGAACACCCAAGCTGGGAAAAGGTCAAGATCTAGGTAAAGAATCGTTAATTGACATAGTGTTGGACTCTGAAAATAAAGAATGAAGTTTAGATGAAGTAACATTAGCAGAGCCATGAGAATGCTAGATGGAATTCAATCACAAGACTGGTGTCTCCATACCGACACTCCGTATCAGGGCAAAATGCTATCCAAAAGTTTACGTTAACACGGGGGTTAGGACTTTGATGTTGTATTGATGACCACAAAAGTGTGGAGCACTACACGTGAATAGGCTGCCGATTCACTGACTCATGCTATAACCAGTTATGAAATAGTTCTGGTCTTGGTTCTAGAAAAGCTAAGAATGTGCAGAAATTGTCCAGTGAAGTGTCAGACCTACTTGCAAATAGATGCAAATACTACTTGAGCACACATAAGAATATTAAACAATTTCACTTAAAAATTCATGTCTGGAGATAAAAAGTCAGTTCTCCAGGACCAAAGAAAATTCTCCTAACCAAGCTATCAGTCAGAAGTTGAAAGTCTGAAAAGATGTTGAAGCTCTCAAGCCTGCAATGAAGGCAAAATGCAATCTCAACCTCAATGTACATAAATGAATGCTATTTCTCTTGATCAAGTAATACAGTTAATATATAATGATGAAAGAATCTTAAGACTTAAGCATGTCTAAGTATAATCATTCTAGCATTCCAATTGAAAGTTTGTTGAGTATAATAAGCAACTTGATGAGAATTATAGATGGGTTACTTGATGAACTAAATCAGTATTTGGTGAAAACATTGTATTTTGATTTTGGATATATATATATATATATTATATCTTGATTGTGTTTTTGGAACCTCAGACTCAGAGTTTATTCTTTATTCTAACTGTCGAAACTGGCAAACAGCCAAAAATGAGATTTCTTATTTTCGTTCATAATCATCTTTCTTCAATAGGCCTTGTGCCTACCTAGTTCTAGCAGTAACTATAAATTTGTCATCATTTGATAGAACTAAATAGTCTTCACGATCTTTGGCTGCCTGCTTTATTACTATTCTGCAAAAAATTACAAAAAATAAAATAAAATCACCAGGAAATATACGTCCCAGCCACAGTGAACCCTTGCTTAGAAAGCTTAAGTACAGGGTGAAACAGGAATTACCAGCCAATAATAGACGAACATTAGATGACTGCAATATGTAGAATACTCAATACTTTGTACACTATACAATCAGTGTCTTTAGGGACCCAAATCCTATATTATGTATGAAGTGAAGGATAAAAAAAACAACATCAACAGCAGAAGCCTCAACTTATACCCCCTCAGCAAGAACCTCATATGCTAATGCAACATGGAATCAACTACCAGAAAACAACCACCTACACGACAGGGTCACCATCACCAGAAGACCCTGCAGAGTTGATGAATGCTTCATTGAACATCTGGTTGCCTTCATTGCTGATGCTCTGGTGACCTGTCTTACAGGGACTGTCCAAGCTGTGCCCCAGCTATACAAGGATATCTGTTCGGCCTCGGATTTTTATCTCAACCTTACATCCATGGCTGAATACATCAACAAGAGACAGACGAGAGCATCAATCAGGTAAGTAAAAATTGGTTTCAATTTTACACATAAATATTCAGGGAGATTTACTTCATAAGAAATTGGAACTTTATGAGCTCTGTAGTAGCCTAAATATTGACATTGTTGGTTGGTTGGTGTTTTATGGCGCAAAGCAGCTAGGCTATCTGCGCCAAACAACTGGTAAAACCAATGAAAGTAGATTAAAGTAAAATGTAAAAAAACAGCAAGTTAAAATCAATACATGTCGGTAAAAGATTTATATAGAATTAAAAAGACGTATAGTGTGTAAAAAATTAAAAATACAATCTAGTCAGACAGTGTCACCATTACCAATGACACTGTCCAGCGTCAGGGGTAAACTTTTAGAAAAAATGTGTCTAAAATGGTGCCGCCACTCACGGTCGTAATGACGGCACGACAGTAAAATGTGGGCTATTGTGACTTGAGTGTCACAATGGCTACACATCGGTGGGTCAATACCTGATAAAAGACAACGATGGGTTAAAAAACTATGACCAATGCG